ATTCCTGAAGTTCCTTTGCTACTACACAGTTTCACCTGGCAAGAACACAATAAATGTAATGTTTCCTACCTGGCAGTCCCTTTAGACCACGCATGATTTCCTTGCGCCTTTCTTGCATAGAGATTCTATCATCACACATCATCAGCGCAAACATCACCAAAGAAACAAACTGGCTGGTGTAGGCCTAAGAGAGAGAGGGAGACAAACATGTAGCCATGCGCTTGTCACCTACTACAACATCCTGTGAATCTGCGAGTAGCTCTCGGACCCCCCTCCTTGATCAGTGGCACTAAGGGTGACTAAGGTAGGACGCTTGCAATTCTAAATATTTAAACTTTGGTTTATCGTGCAACAGCTGGACAACAGGGGAATTAAGACGGCTTTGCTAGTGCCGTGCCACCAACAGATTATACGAGGAAAACTAAGTCGTCTCGGAGAAGCAGTTCAGAAACATAACTTTTAGACTAGTTATTGACTTTATTCTTAGCATGTTATCAAATTATAGCTTTCACTATAGCTTTTCATTCCAATCAAGCAGGAAGAACATGAAATTCACAGGGCCTTGGCAACAAGCAAAGTGGAATATTTCTAAAAACTCCTTGGCAACCATTAAACTGTTAATTAAAAGCTTACATTTTTGCGACCACACCTGTGGCCTTCTTTCTGTATGTGAGCAAGCAGTATTGAAAACACTGAAGACCGTCAGACTCAATGACTGGAGATGTACAGGAAAAGTCCACCAGTAACAACAGCTGGCCGCTGCAACACAACAGCTAGGCATAATTTTTTTGGACTGTGTTCAAGGAGCCCACCAGCCGTTTCCTCGGCTGGGGCTACTGAAAAGGTAAGTGGCTGGTATCGCTGGCTTTGGGGAAAAACCGTGCTCATCTGCACAAACAAGCGAAGTGAAACTAGCGCTTACGTTATGACAGTTCCATCTGCAAAAGCATTTGAGCCATAGTTTTCAACAGCTATTGCAGGAGTCTAGCCTCTGAAGTCCTTAAAAGACAAATGTTATGAAATGGGCCATAACGCCAGCCTGGGATTGAGGTTCGTTAGATGTACGATTAATTTTTGTAGAATTTCTAGCCCTTTCTAAACAATGACCAAACTTTCACGTTGAAATATTGGGAGATTTAAACAGCTTTAAAAGAATCTAGAAAAGCTTCAGTTATACTGACTAGCAGGGTTAGATATGAAATGTTTGTTTTGGATAGCGTGCAGTTGAAGGTTACAGAAGTAAATAGCACAAACCAGAAATGTTAACAGTGCCTGGATAGTTTATAAGATGTTCTCAAAATGAAGGTCTATACAACCTTGGGGCAAAACCTCTTCAAGTTCATGCTTCAAACGTGCATAATATTGGTAACTCTCCACATCACCAGAAAGAAAACGCAATTTTCAGTTATCTCCAAACTGTAATGTTGGCAACGTGAAAACAACCCAGGCACAAACAACTCGTTCAAGAGTTTCTTGTAAGAGACTCATGAATTTTCCATGATCAAATTCCCCAATGAACTATTAAACTCAAATGTGGTTTTTGGCTGAATTTATGTAACAGATTGACATCATCTCGCCTCTAAATATAACTAAATCAAAGCAGATTTCACCATGCAGAAGCACTTCATCGAAATGAAATGCAGCAAGGCAAGTTATTTTATACTACATCACATGCAGCCAGATGCATCAACCAGAGAATAACACTGTTAGGCAGACATAAATACAGGTTTTCTTTAAAAGACCATTCCCACGTTTGCTGAAAGTATCATTTTAATATCACATTTTCTTTAGTAAAGCGGTGCCATTAAGGGCTGTTTCCAAACCTTGTCTTATAATTTCCTTTCTGATCTTTAGACCTTAAGCTGAGTCTGCACCCAGGACAAACGATACTAGAGACAGAGGAGCGAATTCTTGCCTCTTAGGAAATTCTTCCTTCTGAGAGCCCTTCAGTTTAATGTTGCTTCCTCATAATATTTCCCTTACAGAAGAAAAAAACTCTTGGCAAGAGTCAAGAAAAAGAAAACGAATAGCGTTGCTAGCCACACGTTTATTATCTACATAATCATCAATAGTGGCTGGTAGAAAGAGGACGGGGTACTGAAAATATTTAACGGGGGGGCCCATGACATAACAGCTAACAAATACCTTCAGGGATAGTTTGGATAACGATCTGCCTATATGCAAAATTGCCCATTTCCCAGTAATACATTAAAAATTACACGTCGCTGCTGCAGTGAGGTTAGCAGCTCTTTGAAGGTTCCAGCTAAGCTTGTTCTCTCTGAACTGTATTTAGTAGTGCTGTTGCAGTCCCACCGTGATAAATCTTACAAATGGTATAGAGAGAGGAGAGACTTTGCTAACTGGGACGTAATTTGATTTATATATCTTGCCTCGCAAAATCCTCACAGAGACGGCTCCAATACAAACTTCCACAGAGTGATTTTTGTAAAGACAAAGAGCCCAGTTCTCCTGTTACTGCTGAGCTGAGTGCTTTTACCAGGTAAATGAGCAGTGGTCCAGCAGAGAACGTAGCCTGAAATTGGGCATATCATGAGTCAGTAATTTTACTCATTTTAAGTTAAAATTCCCTGGACTTTTTTTTTTCTCCTTCATTTTAAGAAATAAAAGTGTTTGGACACTTCTGTAGGAAACAGGGTTTCTCCTACTTTGTTTTACATCTTTCCATTTCCTAACACAGTTTTATTTTTTCCAGTTACAATTAATTGCTCTCCGAATTCCTCTAGAAGCCCAACCACCATCCGGATCCCCTCCAATACTACAAACATCTTAAACAAGAGAAGTTGTCGGGAGGTACAACGAGCACCTTCTACAGAAAGTTTTTTTCTTAGAAGGTGCCATATTAGCAATAATTAATCCATGATGAATCCATACTAGCAATAATTAATAATTGTGGCTTCGTGTTCAGCAGTTTTAGCTACCCTATTTCATTCCCTTTGCTGTTTTCAAATCAACTAAGGACTTCCCTTTCCTTCATTGAGCAAAACTGTTCTTGAGATCATAAAGAACGAAATGACCAAAACTTCCCTGTTTAAAATATAATTTGGTAGCTTTATTATTTTTGAAAGTTTGCTGAGTTCTGACTATTTTGGTCGTATAGACTGAGTCAAGGCTGTCTTTAAAAATTCAGCACTGAGAGACTATGCACCTGGTTAAAAAGCGCAGTCAAAAACAACCATGGTAATTAATAAAGAGTGACATCTATAAATTCAGTAGTTACCTTTGTACTGGCAACCCCAATCTCTGGTCCGGCATTGATATGGACTCCACAATCTGTCTCTCGTGATATAGAGCTGCCAACTGTATTAGTTATTCCTACAGTTAAGGCTCCTCTCTCTTTACAGTACCGGAGACCCATCAAAGTATCTGCTGTCTCACCTGAAAAGACAGATATTTGCAGCGCTGTTACTGCACCGTACAACTGCAATGCTTTCCTAAATACAGTCTTATTGCCCGCAAGTCAAATGGGGCAGTCATTATGTCAGCTTCTAGTGCTATGCCCCTCCGCAGTGTTTTTACACGGAAAAGAAAAGACTGAACTCTACAAAGCACAACCTGATGCTAGTACTTGATATAAGGAAAAGTTAGTACTAGATGCTAAGGTTTTAAAAAAAAAAAAAAAAAGTCAAAGAGTATCTCAGTCAACAAAAACAACTTTCTTCCATTTCCTGGTTATTAAAATCCACCTTGAGGGGGACAAAAGACCAACACATTAAGGATATCTGGACATAACCCAGCTCAAGTGCACAGCGCATGCAATAGCATTAAGTTACACCTAGGCTTGTGTGGCCTTCCACCGTCTTACTGCCATCAGAAAACATGGACTTGTTTTGGCTGACGGTGCTTACCAACAACGTGGTAAGTAGCAAAATTTGTCCTCCAAGAGATTAGATCCAAAACTAAGTACTAGTTCTCAAATTTGTTTGTACTATACTCACATAAACTGGCTTGGATCAGACTTCAAAATATTTCAGAAACCTCAGATATAAATAATCAGAAAAGGCTAGCTAAATGAACTCCACAGCGGCAGGGGAATCTGCACTGAGGATCCCAGCAGTGCTGCTTGTGGAGCTGAGCGGCAGAGAGAGTACTAGCAACAGAAGTTACTGAATATTCCATCTACTGTTACCACTTTGCTCTTGCCCTTAAAGGACACTCCTTTGAGTACTCCTGCACCTGTTAAGGTTAGATTAACCAAGACAGAATAAATACCACAAGGGTTGGTACACTTCTACTTCAGTATACCAATACATAAAACCCCTGGTCTGCATACTGCGTTACTTAAAAACAAGTCATCTAGGGTGGCTATCTTAATCTAAGGCTAGAGAAACAGACTTGTGGCTGGGGGAACTGGGTTCAGCATGCACTTTGGTTTTGTACTGCCTGATGACCAACCTCAGGTTCCAGGAAAATCCTTGTTTGTTTGCTGCATGCAACGCTAAGGGGAAAGATGTATTCCCTAGAGTGCTCTCAGTAATGTTCCCCGTCAGATGTCGGGCAGTACTCTTCCTGAGGGGAAGGGGTAACATCTGCACTCGTATTCCAGACACTGGGAAACTAGGACAATTATATGAGCTCCTAGAAAGAGGGGGTTCTCCAAGTTACCTGACAACGAGGAGAAAAAGTGATTATTACTTTGCCACCAGGAGTATTTTAACCTATGGTTAAAAGAATAACTACTACTTTTAATATCACAGCTGAAGATCAGCAGTGAAGCTCTACAAAGGTAATGGGGAAAAAAAAAAAGTTATTGCAATCGTCCTTGAAAATATTTTCAACAGGATATATCAGTTTATTTTGTTTTAGCTTAAGCGTATGTTTTATCTCACATTCCGTTCCAGGGTTGCTGTATTCCTTTCAGAGACTTCTGTTTAATAGTTTTGTTTCTTTCAGGGATCCGATCCAGGATATAGCTTAGTATTTCATACTGTTTTAACTAAAGAACTAAAACTACTGAAAAGCAACTACGGAGCTGTCCTTTACCTACAGCTCAATGGATCTTTTTTAGCCTGTTGATTGACTGGACTATTTCCCCACACAGAAAGGAAACAAAACAACTGTTGCCATATGTAAGACTCGGCTAATAAACAAAACCATGCACCAGTGCGCAAATAGACCGGAGGAGACCCGCTCTATTTTTTCCCATCTCTAGAACCTGTGTGCCAATTCCTTCACTCACACGTACCACATGCAGTCCTACTGGCAGGCCCAAGAACTTGGCCCTACAGGCTTTTCCCTCCCCAAGCAAACGCTTACAGGAAAAAGGTGAGTGAGTGGGTGGTAAAGCGAGACTATACCTGACTGGCTGATGAAAAAGCAAACATCATCTCTGAAGACAGGAGTGTTTCTGTCCAGGAAGTCACTGGCTAGTTCAACCATAACGGGCAATTCAGTCAGTTCTTCCAGAACCTGACGAGTCTGGTAAAAGGAGACGTCAGAAAGTTACACGTTACATCGTGTTTAAAAAAACTTAAAAAAAAAGCCTTCTAGCTGCCACACACTGGAAAATATTACTATCAAAATACTATGTGAAAGTTAGCCCGGGTTTATATTTTAATTAGTCTACTCGTACTCAAGTCACACACAACTAGCCCTATGAAAAGCTACTCTGCTTTTAGCCACACAGAAAGCCTATGAGGCCAACCCCTTCCACACGTATATTGTTCTTAAACAGTTCTCACTTACAACATTCAAGCCAGGGTGTCGTTCTCCTGGAATGGAATTTGTATTACTAAAGATTTCAAGAGCCGCTACCAGTATCGAGTCTAGTGAATTTTTTGATTACTGTTAATATTATCTTATAGAGTTAGCCAAGGTGAACAAAACCCTTCTTTTCTCATCTTTGTAAATCAGTTAATGGAGCTGTGTTTTGCAACTTTCTGAAAGAAACAACAAGATTCCTAAGCAAAGCTGTGGAGTACTTTTAATTGCAACATGATGGGCTGCCAAGCTACAACCAAAACTGTTTCATCTACAGCCATCACATTCTACCCTATGATCAAACAATGCCTTGTAGGAAAAAATTACACGCCTTCTGTACCACTGTAAGGCATAAAGCTAACCCTCTTTTCTCTCTCTTGGGCGAGTACAGGGACCTCTAAGCAAGTGCCATCGCTGCCTGCATAAACTATTTATGCAAAGGAAGAAATCGTATTTGACTCATGGCAACCCCTACCTCGCTGCAGTATTTGCATTCTGCTACTGCACTGTCTCTTCCCCTGCCAGTTTTCTTTTCAGAAGTTTATTTTTTAAAGCTTTCCATAGCAACAAAATCATAAGCAACGTTTTCATAACTTTATGTTATGCCAGCTTTTAGTTCCTATTGATGTCACTGGTAGTTTGAAAATCTGGTGCATGCAGGTTTGAAGAAGGTTTTCACTCATCAGTACACGCTTGCTCAGTACAAACATCTTATCCTTACCGTGCTCAACACGCACAATATTATGCCCGCTATTCCATCCTAGCTACAACTCACAAAGCGATCAAGACTGACCACTTACCGCAACTCCAGCGTGGTAACTTGTCCCACAAGCAATAAGGATTAAGCGACGACACCTCTGAATCTCCTTAATGTGATCCTTTAACCCACCGAGATTTACTGTAAGCAGATTCAGGGAGAAAATCAGGGTGGCCAGCTAGCAGAAATTCTCAAATTAATACTGCTCGTTAGCACTAATAAAAATCTCGATCAACCTCTTAGCAAAAGAGTCATCACAAACAGTAAGTTTGCCACGAGAGCGTGTGATTATGGAAGCACTCCCTGTAAGACACATACATTGTCTTACAAGGGCACGTTTCAATTTCCCGTGTCATCGTCTACTTTCTCATCCGCGAGTAACCACTAGATACCGAGCTGTTAAAAATAAAGGAGGATTAATTTCATTTACCAGTGTAGTCATCAAAATTGACCCTTCCTCTCATCGTATTAACGACAGATTCTGGCTGTTCAAAGATTTCCTTCTGCATAAATGAGCTGAAGTTACCTATTAACAACAACAACAACAGCAGCAGCAGCATAAGAAAACAAACGAAAACGCTTTAAATTACCTCATGGTACGCTATGTATATAGGGAAGAGTTTGGATCAGAGTCATTAACCGGCCAGCTGCCAATCAGCACTTTACTTTTTGTTCCTGTACATAAATATCTAATAAAAAGATTCACTAAGCTGACAGATCATTTTCTAGCAAAGCATCAGCTATAGAGTCAAGATACGTGAACAGCAAACAGATGCAGAACGGCAAGCCTGCTATAGATATATCTTGAAAAAAATGGACACCCCTAAACAGGACATAAAATCCTCAGCCCCATATTTCTCCTCGTTACGGTGTTAGTGGCTAGAGGGAACTTCCTATTAGATGTAACAACAAATTTTTTCACCATGTACTAGAACAGGGGCTCAGAGAGAGAGACTGTGGGACTTCCATCCATGGAAATATTAAAAACTCAACTAAACAAGGCCCTAAGCAACCTGATCTACTTGGACCTGCTTTAAACACAGAGACTGGACTAGGTGGCCTCCGGAGGTCCTTTCCGACCTAAATTGTTCTGTGATTCTAGGGAGGATAGGTGACAACCAGAAGATTTTACCCTTCATAATCTGCTGCAGTTCCATCTGCAGGGTTTGGACGGCACGTCCGGGGTGATCGCCTGCCGTGCGTTTAATCCGGTGGATGGAAAGACGGCCATCGACCACAGCTGCTACATCATCATCTTCAAGGAAAATCACTCTGTTGGTATGCTCAATGACAGCACTATAAAGATCATACAACATTTGCCATAAGACATTATTCTTCATAGAAAGATGAGGGCTACAGCCCTATTTATAGGCCAACATACAGTTTTTGATTCAAGAAAGCCTCTTACTCATTTCAATGGAATTTCTCTTAAAATAAAAAACACTAAAGTACATTTCCACACTGACAACACAACTGGATTTCCTCCTCCTACCCCATTATTAATTTCAGTGCCTATGTTGAGAAGAAACTATGAATTCCTCAGACAAAGCAGCACGTGCAGCAACCTGATCTAAGGGAGCTAGTGAGCGGACGTCAGGAGGAAGGTAACTGGCCTAACACACAGGGCCCTCAACTACAGGTACAGACTCTTTTCTTGTCTTTTCCAGTGATAAGCAGTTACCCCTCCCTGCCTCTCATTTTCCCCATCTATAAAATTGGGGACAACTTGGCCACCTTTTAAAGTGCTCTGAGAGGTACTTATTAAAAGCATTCCAAGAACTAGGCACTACTGAATATCTTCCCGGCCTGCAGTTTACTTGGAGAATGTCAATACTGGGATTACCAGTGGGGTTTAAAATCTTATACAAGATTTGAAACCATGCTGTCTTACATAGATAAGGCAAGCGGTATTTAAACACATCTGCTCGCTATTTTAGTAGCTTTTGCCCTGACCTTGGCATGTCACTGAAAAACTCTATAAAATCAGGAGAACATGCAAGGGCGTCAGAAGATTCTCCAAAACACTCTGGTGAAAGGAACTACAGAAGTCAACCACGGCAATATTTTCACATTTCTAGAAAAAGTACTTATTTCCCTAACATACTGAAGGCCAACAGTTCTGGTAAGGCTGCTGTGAAGTTAGTCCTTCCTCCCTCTGTTGGTATTAAAATAACTCTTCTTTGAATGAATTGCACGTGTGCAGAGATCCCTGTAGAATCAACGCAATTCTCCTGATAATAGCTGCCTGTCTTCTTAATTTAGGTCAGTGCTTTCCCAAGTTTCCTATTACTCTCCTGTGGAATCACATTAACAGATACACTTGAAGAACAATAAACTCCTGTCACAAAGTGAGTTTTCATTTCTTTTACAGAGCATCTCATCTAATCTGTCTCTGTCTCTCTCTCTCTGTTTCTGCATGGATACGATACACTTAAGGCCACACAGGGCAACCTGTTAGTGGTTGTAAAATAACGCCAGTGGCCACATGCAAACAGTTTACTACTATTCGTAAAGAAACCACTGCGTCTTAGTTTCCTGTTCAAGGCCTCAAATGTAAGCAGTGTGTTTTTATAAACACTAAAAGATGCTGAAAAACATTACCTAGCGTCAGAAGCAAAATAGTACTCCACAGCTTTCTCCTCAACAGGGAAAAGGCAGGTGGTACTGTCAACACGAGACAGGTTGCAACTTCCCTTCTTGTCCTTACCTAGAAGACATGGGGATTAGGTATTGCACGTACTAATAAATACAGAACGCAGCTGCAATGTCAGGCCCAACCAAAGGTCCCAAGGAACAGTATCAACATGAAGCACTATTTTAATCACTGTGACTGATTACAGTAAATTTAACAGTGAAAATAACAAGAGGGCAACATAACAGCACTCATATTATTATGCCTTTTCTCAGTTTCCTTGCCTTTTTTTTTTTTTTTTTTTTAAATGTGCTGTATTAAATTAGGGCTGTAAATTTAATGTTGAGTGCAGAGTTCAGTTTAGAGAAAACATCAGTAAAAATTCAAATAAAAGCTTATGCTTGGCTCCACCAGGGGGGGAAAAAAAAATCAAGTTGCCTTATGAGCAGTCACATTTACTAACATTTTCCCAGTTGAATCTGTCCCGTTTATTGTTATAAACTTCTCCTATGTTCCTGTTTAACAAATTTTCCTGAGGCTTTGAAAAATCAAGCAGGATTGCTCTTTCTTTGTCAATTATTCTCATTGCTGGATGAAATTCTTTCATAGCTGCAACCTGTGCAGCACACACTGTTCCACTGAGCACCAACACATGTAACCAAAACCTACTTTTGTCTGGCTGAGCTGATGTTTTCAGATACAGATCATGAATACCTGATTAAGCATTCAGTGGTGTTCTTGAGATACCAAAAACAAACTTCTCATTCGGATCCCAAGTTTGTAGAGCTGGCAAACTGCAGTCTGTCTTGAACTGTTGCAAGGGAAGTATTTAGGTGTACTGAAGGACACAGGACTAAGAGAAATTAAGCCAACTTCCAAAAAAATTGAACTAAGCCTTAAAAGGAGGTCAGTATTTCACCAGGGATGCTTTCAGAAGTACTTCAGTACTTCCCAATACGTTCTACAGCTCCTCCTCTTATTTAACTATAAAAAATACTTTTCAGGGGCGAAGCTCATCAGGAACGCGGACAAGGACCAAAACCACCTCCTGCTCAACCCTGACCTTGAATAAAATTATTTCTCATGCAATTCACACCAATTGGCAACGGGGTGATTAAGCAGCTTATCTAGCAAAACGTGCAAGACTATTGCTGAAGAATAACAAAACTGAAGAAACTGTACTACATATATTTACTCTATAGGCCCTAACATAATTTGCTTCACGTACTTGATAACAGATCTGATTCAATGATGTAAATAGCGCTTGTGATGTTGACATTTAAATTTATACTGCTGTAAGTGAAAATTTAAAGAAAAAAAATGCTGCTTTCATGTTGATACTTAATAAGAAGGTTCCACTTTGCCAAAATTTAGGCTCTCCACTTTATTTATCAAGTCAGTAAATGAAGAAAATAACCAGAAAGGACAGAGCAACAGTATTAGCGGCCATTCTCCAAAAGAAGCACCCATACTTGATTAAAACATGCAAATTTTGTTTCTCAAAATACAACATTTCCCCATGTTGACTTTATTATGTTGCATTGCTTTCCTGTATGACAGAATTCTACAATGAGCTGTAACTGGAACATATTCTTAGAAGGCACATACATTTGCACTGTTTGGATAGCGTTACCAAGGCATGGTTGAAAAGTCACAGTAAGTATTATCAGCCAGTTATGGCTGTTCTCTTAGCTATGGATACCACGTTATCTATGGATAAATTGGGTTGCTGCTGTAGAGCACCTAACTCCCATTTACTAGAATTTAACAGCAACACAAAAGTAATCTTTTCCCTTCTGTAATCAAAGAATAGAGATGTCACTGAGAATTCACCCTAGCATGTAAAAACATGCGCGGGGGAGGGGATTTGTTGGAACCCGGAAGTGGGAGGCGGAAACCCGATCGTGATACCATCTCTCTCTCCATTACGGCAATAATAAGCAGATGGCAGTTCTGCCAAGTTAATGCAGCAGAGATTAATGTGGCTTCTGCTTAACATATTTTCCCGTACTTACTTGAGCAGCATTATGGTTCAGGTTTCTTTAAGAGGTGTTTACAGACTACAACAGCATTACAGAACTAATGACGCAATGATTATAGTCAAAGATTCTCTAATGCATATGTTTCTTATGGTCAATCTTTCAAAAAAGCCTTAGTGCCACTGAAAGTTAAAGGACTTTGGTTCTTAAAGCCTGTGGGAATTAACCTAATCGCGTGACTTCAAAATTTTACTGTTAACAATTCACACTGACACCTTTCATAAAACTGAGGTTAGCTAAGCATCAGAGCTTGTAGGCTTGTTTCCTTCCTCTTGTAGGAAAGCTCTCTCCTACTTCAGATGTGAACTTAGTTCATCAGATTACAGATGATGGTTAGCCCTACAACAAATTAAGTACTTAATAAGAGATTAATAATGCTTCGCCCTGATAACTGCCTCATGTTTTTCAAGTTAATTAAATACAGCCAGGCTAAAGAGCAAAGGTGAAGTAAGTTCCAGCCTCAGCTAAACCTTATTGCTTCTGCCAGGAGCTGCAATTCAGATCCATACTGCACTCAGGATGTAGCTCTTTGACAATCTGATTTCCTGAAGGAATTCCAGCGAATGTTTGCATTCGGATTATTAGTGGGCTCTTAAGTCCTCTTGTTTCTAATTTCAGTGGGTTTCACTCTACTGCCTTTGTTTAAGGTAATTTACTGTTTCTTTCTGCAATCGAAGCTGCAGGAAGCACACAGCACAATCGGCAGTAAATCATCAGTTTTGTATATGCTCAGCATTATGTCAGAACACTTGGGATGGGATGGGTGGATTGATGGAGGATTTTCTCATGTGTTGCTCATTGTGTTTCTGATCAAGCAGAAATTCTGATTATCCCGTTTGTTTCACTACACTACCTGGAAAGCAATAACCACATATTAAAGAGACAATGCAAATTTCCCTCATTTATTATTCCTTTCCTAAGGAACTGGAGGATTTGTCTTAAATTTCAAGTATTAGATTTTCTCAGGTAGGCACCTTCCTCCATTTTTATGGATATTCCATCAAAAGAATGATCCATAGATTGCACAGCTGCAAGTGTAATTTGAAAGAAAAATATCTTCAGATAATCAGTAAAAAAATAAAAAAGCATTACATACATACATTAAGGATTACTTCTAATTATCCAGCGTCAACCAAGAATAAACACAAACTTTACTGAGACTGGTTCTTCACGTTACATCGTAGCAAGCTATCACTAGCAGCACCGTTTGGAAGCAGTAAGACATAGTGGCACAGTAAATCTTTTTGATCATTGCCATGCTCAAAGAGCTAATCGCGTGCCCGTTAATTGAATGGGTTCAGAGACCCCTCGGACAACAGTCAGGTGAAGAATAAATCTTAGTCACTTTCATGATCAAGGGTGCCGCTGTCTGTCTGCGGCAGTAAAACAGACACGCGAGAGAGAGGTGCACAGAGAACGCAAAAACAGATTGCCACACAAAGGATACCTGCATGCTACTTTTCTTTTCTTTTAAACCATTCTGTTACAGGAGAAAAAAGGTTTGCGATGGTGAAAAGCCTACAGCCTGCAAAGCACAGTCACTTTTTTTCTTGAAAACACCATAGTCCCTGAACGCCAACATGCCACAAACATAAACTCAGATATTTGAGTTTAGCTATACTGCACAAACACGTTTTCCTTGCAACCGTACAACATTAAAGCTTTGATCAAAACTAGAGGTCAGTTCTGCTGGTGTATACAGAGATACCAGGGAGCAAAAGCAGAAGGTTGCATATCCTTCATAATCTCAGCAAACTTAAGTTGAGGTATATGGTACGGCATACGGTTAAAAACATTTTTATTTCAAAAATCTCCTTTTTAATGGAGTCTAATTTACAGCTGAAAGTAAAGGGTATAATATCTACTCCAAGGCATGCAGCCGGGGCTTTGTGCAAACACTATGCTTATACATTGGTCCGAGCATGACTGGAACCCACTGGGAAGGTGGTGCCCGCACTTACCGGTCCTGTACAGTATTGGGATGTGGTCAGTGGAGAGCTTGTGCTCGCTGCGCACTCCAATTAGCAGGGGGCTGCCTCGCCTGCAAGCAAGACATCAAATTACAACCATCAGCACCCAAAGGTTCAGCATCCAAACATTCGATCTTAAGGGACTGCTGCTCTCCAGCACAGGATCTCAGCTACTGAACTGAACTAGAAAAAAAGAGAGGGCTCCTCATAAATAAGTTGTTGTTGCTGCACAGGAGGAATCTGTCCTAAGTTTAGCATCAGCTCTGTAAGAGTAACTGAAATTCTACGGATATGTGAATCAAGAACACAACAGCTGTTGCCCACTGTACGTCTCTACAAACACATACTGACGCTCTTGAGATTTTAAGACTGCGTTAGGCACGAGCATGGCTAAACCAGTCCCAACAGATCCTGATGTTTTAAAGTGAAGTACTAAACCTGAAAACCAAGCTGGCCCAATTTCCAATTTATTCAAGTAACATGGAATACTTGTCCAAAGGCTGCCACAATTACAAACACAAAGGAAAATAAAACCATCCCTTTTGAAAGCTCTCATACCCAGTGTCCTGAAGTACGCTCAGATGGTCAGAGCTGGCCTGTTTCAGACCAACTGTAACACAAAGTGCTCACTAAGAAATTGATAAAACGTTTTCTAGAGTTCCTGCTAATGACAAAGAGAAAAGGAAGAAGAGGGAAAGGAAATGAAAAACAACAGCCGCTGCCACCCCCCCAGCATATACAGCGTAATTAGAACAACCGCTACACTATCATCTTCTAACACGACAGAAAAGCGAGCTTAAAAACCACATATGGGATGCAAGAACTTTGCAACGCTTACCTGGTGCCAACTGCTTGACCAGGATAATGAACACTTTTGAACACAAGGGCAAAAGCACCTTCCTGGAATGAGAGAAATACAAACTGTCACCAAGATCTGCAAGTAAAATTTGTTCTTTGTCTTCAGCTGCTATAGCTTTGGCCAGACAAATTACTGAAAAACTGTCTGCTAAACAAGCTAGTCCTGGAAAGAGACGTATATTCATGGTGGATCCTCTTCACCTGCATAATTCAGCAAATAATAATCGACACAAGGAAGATGGAAGCAACATGCTTTACAATTAAGTTCCCACAAGGGGTCAGCATCTCTTCCAGACTGGAGGTTTACATGGAGTAAATAAAGTCCAGCTTCAGGGAAGATTTTAAGCACAGGCTTAATTGGATCATGTCCCAGTGGCTCCGATGAAACTTCAGCAAAAGCTCAGATGCAGTTCTGAATTCACTCTCCTAAATCAGTGTCTCAAATTGGGACTTCGTTAAGCAAATGAACCACCACAAACACACCACATGGAAAAAATAACGTTAAAAATCTTGTGTGTGTTCTTTCCCAACTCAAGGAACTGGCTGCCTTCAAGAGACTACTGAGACTAAAAACTTAACCTTAGTAAATATTCACGAGAAAAATATCTACCTTAAATAAGAAAGCATATGTATCTAGGGGAGAGTGGAAATTACTGTCCTTCAGGCCACAGACAAACTATTAACTGTCTGCAATTAGGGAAGAACCCTCCCCGCCTTCGCCCCCCCTAAAAAAAAAAAAGCACTTTAAAAAGCAACCTGCCCATACCTGTACACTACAGGATTTCTTGGCACAGATAGGGATAGACTCCCTGGTCAGATTCAATGGTGCAGTAACAGCATTCCAACTTGGAAATACTCTAGTAAAATTTTTATATTTATGCTCAACTCCACCAGAAAAAATTACGTATCCCCCACTCCTCCCACCCTTTTCAAAATATATTACCAGTTGCTGGATAACCCTCTCCACCAGGGTTGTGAAACTAATGTCATCACTTTCACGATTATCGTACATATATTTGACAAGCTTTGCTATGCTTTCTGTGTCGGTCTCGGACTCAAAATCGTATCCTTTGCTTTCCTAAAAGCAAGCAACCAAAAAACATGGTATTATTATTTTTCGACATTACTGCCTTCAGTCCCTATCAAATACTTATTGTTTGTTGCCTAAACGGTGTTGCACAAATGATAACTAGAGACAGCAATCCCTTTCCCCAAAACATTATCATCTAAATTTAAAACATGAAAAAAAAAAAGTGTGAACAGAAGGGAAGAGGGGGGAACAACACAGAGATAAGTTCAGTTCAGCAGCATTGGCAAAGGTGACAGACAGTAACCTCACTGTATTTATCAAAGACAAGGACGCAAGAGCAATGAAGATGCGAAATGATCAAAGCCTGGACTGAAACTTTAATCATGCAGCTGGAGAGGAAAGGGAGCATCTTAAAGACGTTATGCACAAAGAACTCGCATATTTAAATATAAGCATGGATATAAGGACTTACAAAGAAACCTTATTCTTTTATGATGTGTATCTTACAGAGCTGAGTGACAAGTTTAACAGTGGCAATGTTTGCAACTCAAGAAGGAAAAAGAATTAAAGACAATCTGGAAGAGATTTACTTACTCCTGCTAATAGAGCTGTCATCCAGCACAACAAAATCTGTGCAACTCCCATGGCTGGATTATCAAAACAAGCGCCCTCAACTGGAAAAGAATGATTCCCACCCTCAAACTGCAAGATGCAATCAACATTGTGCAACTTGGAGAGCAATTTCCATCCTTTCAAACTCTAATCTCAACCTACAGACCTCTCCTGAGTACAGGAAGTATCATCAACCCATATGATAATTCTGTCTCAAAGGATCTTCAACAAGAATTGCTTCAAATTATCAGGTGTTTGGCCACCTTGTGCAAGGACTTGTGCAAGGTCAACTAGATAATCTATACAGCGCTACTGCACTACATCCCAAGATACGTTTTCTCTCTCACACACACTCTAGTTTTACTTACCAAGAATTTTCGCAGGTCTTTGTAGTTGGTTATAATGCCATTGTGGATAACAATGAATTCTAGAGACGGGAGGAAATACACTGCTCAGATCCAAGACACAGGCAAATGTTTTGTGCATCTTAAAATAGTAGCACAGTAAATACTGTATTCCTGTGGCCTACCTGTACAGATGGCAGTATAATACCAGAACAGAGAGCAGAGTCCACAATTTTATTGTGCGTAAAGCTATACTTAGCAGGATAAAAATAAGAGTTTCACTCTGTGGTGCCATTTCCCTGATCTGCCCCATTTCGCTTGGTCTGTAATGGCAAAAGCTAACAATTACATGGGTGGGACTATGGCAAATTAGATCCTGTAAAAGTTTTGGGGATTCTTAAATGATTGGCAATTTAGGAACCCACGCTTACTCTAGCGGTAATTAAATACTATGCTCATTCTATCATCTTGCTGGTGCCACCCACCAGACTGTTACACAGATATGCACACCAACCAGGCTCCGTTCTGCAGCAGCACAGAGTAGACCAACCCACTGCTCTAAAATGGTGATTATGAGAGAAAGTAAAAATGAAAAAAGTAAAAAAATCCATTCCAAAGAACAGATGGGAAAATTCTTACCATGCAATTTAATTCTGTGTTTTTATATCCTCCTTGTACAGTGGCCATAAGCTCACTGAAGCTTTGCAGCACTAATCGCAGTCCTTCATGAGATCATCTACTGCTGCAAGGCATTCATTAGAACCTAGGCCACAGCCTCAAATCAATGGCCAAGCCCCTGCTGGCTTCTGCGTAACTCGGATTAGTATCATAGCCTGAAATAAACTAACTGGTCACACGCGCTGCCTCCAACCATCCCTTTCTGTTATACATCAGTAATCTGAAAAGATAATAAGCTTTCTAGAAGCGAAAGAGTTGTCACTGCTCCTGCTCAGAAACACACGTTTTCTCAAGCAAAAATTCTTACCGTTGTTTTTATCCGAGCGTTGTGGGTGGCTGTTGATAGGACTGGGCTCGCCATGGGTAGCCCAACGGGTATGTGCAATTCCAAGGTGTACATCAAACTCAATGTCAAGATCCATATCCTGTTGCTCTGCAGGCAGAAGTATGAGAAGCTTTTATTACTAAAAGTCTTATCAAGCTTTCAAAGTAAGGTCCACAGAGTCTGCAATTCTGGAACGGAAATACAATCATCAAGTCACTAACAAAGTGTCAAGTGTGTAAAGCTACCAAAGCAAAGACCACGTGCTCTAGCAAAGCAATAAAGTGCTTTGTTTCACATGTGTTTAACGAGGTTTACAATTGAAATATACAACTTCATTCCCACTCAGTGAGCACTAAAACTGCCACACAGCAGAGAAGAGGGAGAAAACCTCTCTACCCGAGAATCACTATACCAACAAGTGAATCTTTCAGAACGCTTCCTTGTGCCTCTCTCTCTCACCACATCTCCTGGCTGAATTTCCAAGGGGAATTCTGAATGTGGATACACGCAAGTTACCTCCCTGCGCTCCTCACCCTACCAAAATAAAAAATAACTTTAAGAAAGAATCCAACTTTCTCTCTCTTGGGTGTACCTTGTCATCCTATCATCTTCAGTGCAATAACATCAGCTACGACTGAGCTAGCTTATTTCATAGTTACGTAACACTAAAATTAGAATATTCATCAGTAATGCTTATCTCTAGAAAGCGTAACATTACTATTTTTTAGGAAAAAAATCATCCTTTTGTTCCAATATTGCCTCCACAATCTCTTCAAAACTATTTACAGCCTATAATTTTCTTGAGCAGGCAAATGTTTTTTCCGAAATATTTTGTTACCTTTCATTGTTGTAATGCATGTATCATCTCACCTGGCCTTTTCAGTTTCTAGTTTTCATCTACCCACCTTTCTTTTGGATAAATAGTATTCTACTGTCAGGTTAATATTACCATTGATTAAAAACAACTTAAGATATGCAATCAGTTTCTTTCCAGTTTCATTTATACGATTTCTCCAAGTTAACTTTAGTAACAACGCAACTGATACCTGGAAAAAAAAGAGTTTTTAAATGCAAACCATAAATCCCAACTACTCTGAGAAGTATCTTCAAGTTAACACACAAGTGATCAGTATTTCACACACAACAAACTTGGTATTTGTTTCCTGCATAGGAAATTTAAAATTTAAATCTAAGGCACCCAGAAGGCCTCACTTTGTGCTTGCTTGCTTATCAATTTGACAGTTAAACTTACAATTACTTTAATGTTTTCTCTTAACCAATTGGTAGGCCATCACTACATAGATTCAAGACTTTAGTAGGGGCCAGCATTACTATATGCGTGTGTGTGTGTGTGTGTTTTTTTTCAGGTCTGTTCTATTTTAATAGGATGTGATTCCCTTGGCTTGAGAAATTAGGACTTCTCTGTGACTTCGTGGCAATGTCCATGGAATCACTGGGTCCTAAACAGTACGTATGTTTACGTCTGTGATATGTTTACACACAATAATCTGGATTACAGTGTTTCTGGCTAAGACAGAAGATATTCAAAACATAAAGGAAACGAGAAGACGTTTAATGGGAGGAGAAGGGGCAAAGAGATCAAGGGTAATACGTACTGTGAACCTCTTCATCCAGAGCCTTCACCTTCCCTTTCTGTTTGATAAGCTGGATTTTACAAGCATTAGCTTCCCAGTCTTTGTCATTTCCTCCATCAATTCCCACAGAGTGTGAAGTGCAGAAAGCATGTTACAGTATTTCACAGAAACACACACAGATGATTGTTTTACAGTGCCCTTTCTTTCCCCACCTAAACCTCAAAATAAAGGTAAGAAGCCCCTTGGATTAAAAATGAATTTTCCCCTTGTTGTCTTATAGGTATTTTCAAACGCTTGGATAATACGCATCAAAACCATTTACAAATATCCGTACATCTAAAGTTAATCCTAACCTCTGACCACTTGATCACAGAAATATCCAGTCTGTGCTTCAGTTTTCTTGAAAAACAGGCAACAGTTGAAACATTCATAAACACACCAAGAGAAATATTTACAAGCCCAAATTCAAAAATGAGCCATTGTTACTGGGAGAGTGCTACCTGCAGAATCATATCCTCTGTACTCCAGCCGCTGGAGCCCTTTGATAAGGGTCTCCAGGATCTCCCGTCTTGTCCGGGGAACATGGTAGTTCAGGTAAGCAAAGATTCCTACGTGGGGAGGAAAGACATACCCATTTAATACCATGGTAAAATCTGTATTTCTTATCTGCAGGCACATACTAAGTTAAAAAATTCACCAAACTCAAATGGACGTTTGTATTGAGAACTCCCGACAGAAAAGTACCACTACATTTGTAGCTTTTCTTACCGCATCTGAAGTCCAAGGGAGACGATGTCACTTACATTTCAGAGACCAAAACTAACCACAGAAATGCCAGCATCCTTTTCATAACGCTGACATTGACTAAACAGGAGGCAAGCTTGCGAGTAACGGGGATTGAATTTTCATGTGAGCTGCACCTGCATGACAGAATGAACTGCCAGGGGACAATGAAGTGGACAGGAAACTCATCACTCCACACACAAAAAAAAATGTGATTCATGAAGCTTGGGCTTGCACAGTTAAGAACCATCTTCTAAAGGAATTCTTCCTTGAATGGCTTTCTCTCAAGAAGCTCCTCCCACCACTTCCTAAGAAAAACTCATTTAACTCGTGCAAACCAACACCCTTAATCTAATTGAGCTATTTATTTTTCCTGAGGGTCGGAAAGAAAGATAAATTGTTACTTCTACTTGTAAGCAGTTGGCATGCAAATGTACTATGGTGATGGGGACATACAAACTCTTAGATCTGTAATACCAACTATGGCTCTACTTCAGAAAGACTCCCTTTGGTGCTATCATGAAGCAACAGCACCAGGAGACATTTACTGGATTCTAGAAATATCTGCACAGAAATCATTTTGCCCAGTCTAAGGCGTTTAAGTAGAAAAATATCTGCAGGAATACAAGCACAACAGGTTTCACACAAACATCTATATGTTTAAGTTTCCAAAAATGACTGGTAATTCAAGTTTGGTAATTTAAGAAACTTTATTAAAAAAATGCTTTTGAGAAGAATGGAGTTCACTCCCACAAAAAAAAAAATTCTATTTAAAAGCATCTCAAATCTTTGATTCATTGCTGGTAATGTAGTCATATAAGCCTGCCTCACAGTTCCCAAAATTTTATTCATGTAAAAGTTTTTACTCCCTAGATCACTTTTGAAAAATATATCTTTTTGTTTACACAAAGATTATTTTAAAGAGTGTTTGGAAAAGCGCGTTCTTAAACTGTTTGTGTTTTGGAATTATCCTGAATAATTCAAAGCCTTCTAATGTCTTAATTTACTTTATAAGGAGAAATACACACAGGCATTTCAGAATTGACAGATGCACTGAATAACACGTTGCAAAGCGGTGAAACATTTATGAGGTGTTTTTTAGCCTGAGCAGAGATACATGGCATCTGCAACAAGGTCGCTCGCACCCTTATAACATTCTGACGCTCTCCAACTCTTTCCTGTTTTGCATGGACTTCACCTACAGGTCTCAAGATAAGCTTGTCATAAAGCTGCATCTTCTCCTTCCCAGAGCATCCCTTCCTAACCAAGCACCAGAAGAAACATGTCCCTCCAGGTCTCCTGCAAAAAGAGCACGCTCTCTCCCACTTACCTCCTTCTTCGTTACTAGAAAAAAAATTAGATGCAAGTTCCACTGTTCTTCTTTCTTAAACTATCTACTCAAGTTAAGAAAAAAAGAAGGAGCTTTCCACTTGGCTTCTGTCATTTCTACCTTCATTTCCAAAAAATCCAAAACCACTTTAAGACTATTAAGGACCAAGTTTACAAGAATCTGCAGTTTCACTTCCATCGCTCCCGACATCCCAAACCAATTATACACGCAAGCCTGCTACTGCCATCTCTTGATGGCATTTGTTCAACTTGAATTTTAGTTCTAGTAACTAAATGAACAGGGTAAGGTCCTCTTCCACAAACCTTCCACTTCACAGCTAAAAAAAAACATATTCAGAGTAGCTAACAACTGCTGTATTTCAAAAACTTCCTCTGGAGGATACTTCCCTCTTCCCTCATGCTATCCATAGCCCAAACACTCCTCACCACCCTTTGGGGGGGGGGGGGGGGGGGGGAGGGGGGAGAAGGGGGAAGTTTCCCAATTTGAGATACTTTGTTCACTCTGTTTATCTATAAACTGCATTCTTCAGACAAATAGCCACCTCCCAGTTTACAAGTGAACTGACTCTGAACAGCTGTCATCCAGGCTGAAGGACTGCACATTTCAACTCTATCTGGGATGCCTAAAATCCTTTAAATGACTTCCAAGTCTTACAATAGGACTACAAAGCAGACTGCTTTATCAGCAGGCAGCTGGAAAAGTCCCTCTCTCCAGATTTTCCAGAAAACTCCCAGACATCTAACACAGTGGTAGTAGAATACATGAAAACAACAAGTATGTACCATAATATAGAGAAAGCAAGCTCACAAGATGTCTTTAAAAAGGTATGCTGCGTTCCAGCAATTCTTGGCATTTCACTTTTCATCAAAGCCACCTATCATGATGTCCAAAGTAAACCTACTTCGGAAGGCATAATTATAACGCATGTACATATAATTAGGGAAACATGAGGGCTGCTTATATTTTTCCAAATTATTTCCAATTAATTTCCAAATAATTTCAGAGTTGAAACCTCTCTCCTTTTTTTATGTGCCTCAGAACCACGCACTAATGGTCCCATTTCCACCTAAATCCCTGAGCCTGGTACTTCTTATTGATGGCTCTAGGCAACACCCTGCTCACACATTAGCTAGGCCCTTCAAACAGCTCTCTGCAAGTCCCTACAATCTCTGTATTAACCTTGATGACATTTCAGCTACCTGAACACGGCATAATCAGTCCTATTCGGGCATACAGCTATCTAGTAAGTCATTCTACTACCACAGCACAATACCAAACGCCACTCAAGCAGTTTATGCTCTCTACAGCAAACGGAGACTGATGACGAGTCTTAAGGTGCTCTGGGGTTTGAACGTCTTGCTGGTTTCAGTGAGACGGTTCCTGTACGTCCTTCCTGGTGAACAGCAGTAGTCTGAAATGCACAAGAGCCTCATTGACGGGAGTACAGAGCAGGCCTTCTTCACTTCTGAGCGTCCCACTGCGTGACTCACGGGCAAAACCAGAACAGACTGTCAAAGTCAGAGGCAAAGGGTGAACCATAACCACTTCCAAGTTAGGAAAAGACATTGTGGGCAAGAGAGTCGACAAATACAGGCATATTCCAAGAAGAGAGGAGAAAAGAGGACTGTAAGAAAGGCAGAGGGGAAGGCGTGTGGAACAGGACTACAACCTAATCTAGGTAGTCTCAACAGCTGCTCCACCACCTTACACCCCATCTTGGCTGCCCATCAGCAATTCCAAACCTCTCTAGCAACCAACAGGCGTGAGGCTTGTGAAGGTAGTTCTCTTCGGAGCCAAAGGGGCTTTGACATCACCTACATAAATCTAAATAACAGGTACACAGCTACAAAAATCCCAACTTGCTTTCAGGTTGTGACATAGCTTTTAAAATGAGGGTATTTTCAACTAAAGTAGATTGGGCTGCCCAACAGTCATTTCAATGACATCAGCCCCACACAAAGCGCAGAGCATACATCCCCTCCTGAATGTCTAATCCACGTAACTCTAACTGATAGAACAGAGCCTTGGAGGAAGAGAGAAAAAAAAAAACACCAAAGAAACACAACAGTGTCTCTCACGAAGCTCCACTGACGATCACTTTACACATACTTACACTTCACGGTTCACACAATACATACACTTTTCACACGTGCTCTTGGTGCCCCGGCAAGGCCATTACAATGACGTATATATTTTTGGCTTAGCTTTAGTTCTGACACAGATACAAACTCCTCTCAAGTTCAAACAATATTTGGAGCTGATAGCATCCTGAGATTTCTGGTGAATTTTACCTGGCACACCTGGCAAAGAGCAGCTACAGGCAAAACCACCAGGTGTCGAGACACCCAGTGCTGGAACTGCCGTGTTACGGATCTGTTTTCTGGCTGCTAACCTACATTCATTTGCATGCACTGATGCAATGTATGAATGAACTCCAAAAACAGCTATGTATAATCCCAGTCTGTTACTGATTCCTCATTCTGACATGCAGAAGAAATTAAAGGTTTTGTGGTTTTCAGCTGAAGCTACAGATAGGGAAGGCTCAGAAGAGCAAAAGGAAATAGAAAAAGGGAAAAGAAACAGATGCACACAGTTCAGCTTCAAAAACTGAAAACTATCAACCTTATGGAATCCACCTTTTTTTTTTTTTTTTTGACTTAGGAAGTCCTCCACATAAAAGAAAGCCTGACTCAATAGACAGACACGATTATTAGTCAGAAACTTGGTTTCCTGTCATACAACGTTTTGTAAAAGTGAGTTGGTCATTTTAGTCTCCATCCTGATCCTGGCACAGGCACATAAACTTATTCTGAGCCAAAAAAAATGGACTACAGCCAGTCTCCTTCCTTCTAATCAAGGCAGACTTTGAAGTGTTATCAGGACATCTTTATTAAACCTGAATCCAAATCAGATAGGGGCTTGAAAAGTTATTTTCTCTGCAAAGTTTTACAAGGTCAGTAACACCTGAACTGAAAAAATACGAACTTGACTCCTTGCCACAGGTCACAACTGCTAACAGTATGTAACAAAATGCCAAGTACTGAATGGGCACAGAGAAAAAAACAATCTCTACAGGCAGGGATGGCTCATTGAGAACGAGACGGAGAAACACTAGTATTTCTTTCTAGTCGTACTGTAAACAAACAGAAAACATCTATCTGCAAAGCAGTCAACTTGGCATTTGCCTCAGCCATTGAAAATGTATTAATTACAGCACAATATAAGATTATTCAAAAGGACTGGGAAAAAAGTCCAAATCTAAGACTAATGCCATCAAAAAAAAAAACCAACAACAACTTTTCATAAAACACAATCGTGTACACCCTGGAAGATTCAATTTTGATACACTCCAGCTTTTAGGTCTTGACAGACAAATAGCTGGAGTGATAACAGAGACACTAGTACAAAAATAAAACTCCAAAAACCCACCTGCGATCTACACATTTTACAAGTCAGAAGGCAAGCAGGACAAGCAGGCTTAAAACGCATCTTAGAGAAAACAGAAAAATAA